ATAATAGCACAATTGGCAAACGTTGCTGGAGATGTCACTGCCTGGCTTCTAAAATTGACAGAGATGATGGGTTGGTAGACATAAATCATCTCTATATAGAATAGCGATACTCCCCGCACTCGGTTTAGTGTACACTTCCCAAAGTAGAGCAACAACAACTGTTTAAGGATTACACTTGGATTTTGATTTGGGAAATTCGACTTTGCGGAGAATTCGAAGCTGGCGGCCTCTTACTACGGTAAAATAAGAAGGGGAAAGGTGAAGCGATGTTTTTAGAAATAAAAATAACCCACTTCTGAGAAGTGGGCTCATCTGACCTCTTCTTCAAGCGGTCTACAGCAGCGGCGAAACCATCTGCAATATAGAATTATTTTAAAAAAAGCAAACGATTCTAAAATATAAAGCTGCACCCATAACCAACCTTTCCATGATCGACAGCGTTGCTCATTACAAGCACTTCGTCTTTACCAAATACAATTAACAAGTTTTCTATGTTACTACGCAGACAGTGTTCCTAAAAACAACTCCTTACTCATAGGCAATCAAAAATCGAATACTTACTAATATATCAGGAACTCCAGAAACCGGTTCATGCATGATATCCGTGCGTACACCCGAATTACGAAGCAGCTTTGCCAGTTCAAATTTCTCGACCAGCAATGGCGAGGAGTAGGAACACACGAGAGCATCACATAGGCTCAGTTTTTCTGAAATAAAGAATTCGGAAATTGGTGTATGGAAGTAAACGCCTTAAGGCATTCACCATCGGAAAACTTCTTTTTGATATCTGCCAGAACATTCAGCGAGATGGACATTCCAATCAAACATAGCGAATGAGCTGGGCGCAGATCTTGTGGGTGAAGCTCTTTGCGAAGCAAACTATCATATCGACCTAAGGCTCTGAGATGAGAAAAGAAGCTTATCCTTACAAATGAACTACCTCCTCCTAGCACGGTTACTTCGATCGTACGCCTCTTACTTGGTAGCGTACATGACAAAAGGAAAACTATCCTATCTGAGAATGTGGATGGATTGAAAACTAGAGATCCGTCAAAAAGTACTTCCACAGACCCAGGTGTTGCAGCTGAAACGTGAAAGACCACGGGAGCCAAGACATTAGTCGGCATCAACTCATTTATATTATAAAAAACAGCGAACGAAACTTACCGTGTACAAGTAACTCCATAATATGTTCAAGTTCCGAGATAGCAATTTTTGCGCTTTCGCTCACTTTCTCATCCTTCGAACGCATCATACTCTTGCATT